AGTCTCTCTACCCCGCACCAACCCTGCCACCGTGCCCTCGCGTCTCTCTACCCCGCACCAACCCTGCCACCGTGCCCTCGCATCTCTCTACCCCACACCAGCTGCCACCCGTGCCCTTGCGTCTCTCTACCTTGCACCAACCCTGCCACCGTGCCCTCGCAGTCTCTCTACCCCACACCAGCCCTGCCACCGTGCCCTCGCAGTCTCTCTACCCCGCACCAACCCTGCCACCGTGCTCTCGCATCTCTCTACCCCACACCAACCCTGCCACCGTGCCCTCGCAGTCTCTCTACCCCACACCAGCCCTGCCACCGTGCCCTCGCGTCTCTCTACCCCACACCAGCCCTGCCACCGTGCCCTCGCAGTCTCTCTGATCTGTCCCTGGATATGCCCAGCCGTTCCCACTTCTTGCCTTTTGTTCAAGCCTCAATCTTTCCATAGAATACCATCTCCTTATCATCTCAGCGCAGCCTTGCATGTTCAGGTCTGACACATCGCTAAGGCTCCACCCAAACACCACCCACTGTGTGCAACCTCCCCAAATCCCCCCACTGTCTGCAACCCCCTCAAATCCCCCACTGTGTGCAACCCACACAAATTCCTGCACCGTGTGCAACCTCCTCAAATCCCCCCACTGTGTGCAACCTCCCCAAATTCCCCCCACTGTGTGCAACCCCCCCAAATCCCCCCACCGTGTGCAACCCCCCAAATCCCCCCACTGTCTGCAACCTCCCCAAATCCCCCCACTGTGTGCAACCTCCCCAAATCCCCCCACTGTCTGCAACCCCCTCAAATCCCCCACTGTGTGCAACCCACACAAATTCCCGCACTGTGTGCAACCTCCTCAAATCCCCCACTGTGTGCAACCTCCCCAAATTCCCCCCACTGTGTGCAACCCTCCCAAATCCCCCACCGTGTGAAACCCCCCAAATCCCCCCACTGTGTGCAACCCCCTCAAATCTCCCACTGTGTGCAACCCACACAAACTGCCCCACCGTGTGCAACCTCCTCAAATCCCCCACGGTGTGCAACCTCCCCAAATCCCCCCACTGTGTGCAACCCCCTCAAATCCCCCCACTGTGCGCAACCCACACAAATTCCCCCACCGTGTGCAACCCTCCCAAATCCCCCCACTGTGTGCAACCTCCCCAAATTCCTCTCACTGTGTGCAACCCTCCCAAATGCCCCCACCGTGTGCAACCCCCCAAATCCCCCCACTGTGTGCAACCCACTCAAATCCCCACTGTGTGCAACCCACACAAATTCGCCCACCGTGTGCAACCCCCTCAAATCCCCCACTGTGTGCAACCCACACAAATTCCCCCACCGTGTGCAACCCTCCCAAATCCCCCCACTGTGTGCAACCCCCCAAATCCCCCCACTGTGTGCAACCTCCCCAAATTCCTCCCACTGTGTGCAACCCTCCCAAATCCCCCCACTGTGTGCAACCTCCCCAAATCCTCCAGTGTGCAACCCCCCCAAATCCCCCCACTGTGTGCAACACACCCAAATCCCCCCACTCTGTGCAACTCCCTCAAATCCCCCCACTGTGTGCAACCTCCTGAAATCCCCCCACTGTGTGCAACCCCCCAAATCCCCCCACTGTGTGCAACACACCCAAATCCCCCCACTGTGTGCAACTCCCTCAAATCCCCCCACTATGTGCAACCCACCCACATCCCCCCACTGTGTGCAACCTCCTGAAATCCCCCCACTGTGTGCAACCTCCTGAAATCCCCCCACTGTGTGCAACCCCCTCAAATCCTCCACTGTGTGCAACCCCCTCAAATCCCCAACTGTGTGCAACCTCCCCAAATCCCCCCACTATGTGCAACACACCCAAATCCCCCCATGGTATGCAACCTCCCCAAATCCCCCCACTGTGTGCAATCCACCCAAATCCCCAACTGTGTGCAACCTCCCCAAATCCCCCCACTGTGTGCAACACACCCAAATCCCCCCACTGTGTGCTACACACCCAAATCCCCCCACTGTGTGCAACCTCCCGAAATCCCCCCACTGTGTGCAACCTCCCGAAATCCCCCCACTGTGTGCAAGTTCCCGAAATCCCCCCACTGTGTGCAACCCCCTCAAATCCCCCACTGTGTGCAACCCCCTCAAATCCCCAACTGTGTGCAACCTCCCCAAATCCCCCCACTGTGTGCAACCTCCCCAAATCCCCCCACTATGTGCAATCCACCCAAATCCCCCCACTGTGTGCAATCCACCCAAATCCCCCCACTGTGTGCAACACACCCAAACCCCCCACTGTGTGCAACCTCCCCAAATCCCCCCACTATGTGCAATCCACCCAAATCCCCCCACTGTGTGCAACCCCCCAAATCCCCCCACTGTGTGCAACACACCCAAATCCCCCCACTGTGTGCAATCCACCCAAGTCCCCCCACTGTGTGCAACACACCCAAATCCCCCCACTGTGTGCAACCCACTCAAATCCCCCCACTGTGTGCAACCTCCCGAAATCCCCCCACTGTGTGCAACCCCCTCAAATCCCCCACTGTGTGCAACCTCCCCAAATCCCCCCACTGTGTGCAACCCCCCAAATCCCCCCACTGTGTGGAACCCCCTAAATCCCCCCACTGTGTGCAACCTCCCCAAATCCCCCCACTGTGTGCAACCCCCCCAAATCCCCCCAATGTGTGCAACCCACCCAAATCTCACCACTGTGTGCAACCCCCTAAATCCCCCCACTGTGTGCAACCTCCCCAAATCCCCCCACTGTGTGCAACCCCCCAAATCCCCCCACTGTGTGCAACCCTCCCAAATCCCCCCACTGTGTGTAACCCCCCCAAATCCCCCACTGTGTGTAACCCCCCAAATCCCCCCACTGTGTGCAACCTCCCTAAATCCCCCCACTGTGTGCAACCTCCCCAAATCCCCCCACTGTGTGCAACCTCCCCAAATCCCCCCACTGTGTGTAACTCCCCCAAATCCCCCCAATGTGTGTAACCCCCCAAATCCCCCACTGTGTGCAACCTCCCCAAATCCCCCCACTGTGTGCAACCCCCCAAATCCCCCACTGTGTGCAACCCTCCCAAATCCCCCCAGTGTGTGTAACCCCCCAAATCCCCCCACTGTGTGTAACCCCCCCAAATCCCCCCACTGTGTGCAACCTCCTTAAATCCCCCCACTGTGTGTAACCCCCCCAAATCCCCCCACTGTGTGCAACCTCCCTAAATCCCCCCACTGTGTGTAACCCCCCAAATCCCCCACTGTGTGCAACCTCCCTAAATCCCCCCACTGTGTGCAACCTCCCCAAATCCCCCACTGTGTGCAACCCCCAAATCCCCCCACTGTGTGCAACCCTCCCAAATCCCCCCATGTGTGTAACCCCCCCAAATCCCCCCACTGTGTGTAACCCCCCAAATCCCCCCACTGTGTGCAACCTCCCCAAATCCCCCCACTGTGTGCAACCTCCCTAAATCCCCCCACTGTGTGCAACCCCCCAAATCCCCCCACTGTGTGCAACCCCCCAAATCCCCCCACTGTGTGTAACCCCCCCAAATCCCCCCACTGTGTGTAACCCCCCCAAATCCCCCCACTGTGTGTAACCCCCCAAATCCCCCCACTGTGTGCAACCCCCCCAAATCCCCCCACTGTGTGCAACCCCCCAAAATCCCCCCACTGTGTGCAACCTCCCTAAATCCCCCCACTGTGTGTAACCCCCCCAAATCCCCCCACTGTGTGCAACCTCCCTAAATCCCCCCACTGTGTGCAACCTCCCCAAATCCCCCCACTGTGTGCAACCTCCCTAAATCCCCCCACTGTGTGTAACCCCCCCAAATCCCCCCACTGTGTGTAACCCCCCCAAATCCCCCCACTGTGTGCAACCTCCCCAAATCCCCCCACTGTGTGCAACCCCCCAAATCCCCCCACTGTGTGCAACCCTCCCAAATCCCCCCACTGTGTGTAATCCCCCCAAATCCCCCCACTGTGTGTAACCCCCCCAAATCCCCCCACTGTGTGCAACCCCCTAAATCCCCCCACTGTGTGTAACCCCCCCAAATCCCCCCACTGCTTGCAACCTCCCTAAATCCCCCCACTGTGTGTAACCCCCCAAATCCCCCCAATGTGTGCAACCCACCGAAATCTCACCACTGTGTGCAACCCCCTAAATCCCCCCACTGGGTGCAACCTCCCCAAATCCCCCCACTGTGTCCAACCCCCCAAATCCCCCCACTGTGTGCAACCCTCCCAAATCCCCCCACTGTGTGTAACCCCCCAAATCCCCCCACTGTGTGTAACCCCCCCAAATCCCCCCACTGTGTGCAACCTCCCTAAATCCCCCCACTGTGTGTAACCCCCCAATCCCCCCACTGTGTGCAACCTCCCTAAATCCCCCCACTGTGTGCAACCTCCCGAAATCCCCCCACTGTGTGCAAGTTCCCGAAATCCCCCCACTGTGTGTAACCCCCCCCAAATCCCCCCACTGTGTGCAACCTCCTCAAGTCCCCTCGTGCAGGGAGTGGCTTCTTCACCCTGTGAATCTCTCCTCCCTCCTTTGCCCAGAAGCATCTTGTGATTAGTAAAGAGTGCAGTAAATATTTCTCCTAAATATTTCTCATGTTAACAAGGTGCTCCGACCTGATACAAGGGAAAAATGGTTTAATTCAGAGGGATGGGCACACCCCATCCCTGTTTTTTTTTGTTTTTTTGAGACGGAGTCTCACTGTGTCTCCCAGACTGGAGTGCAGTGGCACGGTCTCGGCTCACTGAAACCTCCGCCTCCCGGGTTCACGCCATTCTCCTGCCTCAGCCTCCTGAGCAGCTGGGACTACAGGCGCCCGCCACCACACCTGGCTAATTTTTTGTATTTTTAGTAGAGACGGGGTTTCACCGTGTTAGCCAGGATGGTCTCAATCTCCTGACCTCGTGATCTGCCTGCCTCGGCCTCCCAAAGTGCTGGGATTACAGGCGTGAGCCACCACGCCTGGCCCTGTCCCTGTTTTTAAAGCGTTTATGAAGAAGCTCGAATTCCAATGGTGAAATAGCCATATATGCAATTGTATAGAAAAGTCAGGATTATTTGACAAGGATTGTTTTCAATGCTTTTACACAATTCAGAACCTCAATGAATATAAAAAATAATTTAAAAAGACGTAAGACCACTCTAGATTGAAATGAGCATAGTGCTTGTAAAACAATAGTGAACAGTGAATGCAAAATATTTTAACTTAAATTTCTATTATGCAGCAAATTCATAAAGTAGGGAAAGTCTTTTTCCAACATTTTCAAGACATTTTCTGTTAAGACATGGTCTTTCTTCAGGTGGCTTTTACTTGGGATATTGAGAGGTAAGATGGCGGAGTGGTGACAGTTCAGGTTGAGGAAGGCGAGGGCTGCCGTAACAAAGAACCACACGTTAGGTGGCTTAAAGCAACAGACATTGATTCTCTCACAGTTCTGGAGGCCAGAAGACCCAAGTCACGGTGTTGGCAGGGCTGTGCTCCCCCGAAGGCTGACAGGACGAATGCTGCCTTGCACACCCCGTCTTTGGTGCCCTGCTGGTGTCCGCTGGCACCACTTGGCCTACAGGCTCATCATGCCAACTTCTGCCTCTGTCTCTACCCCGCCTTCTCCCCTGTGTGTCTGTGTTCAAATGCCCCTCTTCTTATAAGGGCACCAGTCCTGCTGGATTCCAGTTTCCACCCTATCCCAGTATAGACTCACCCTAACTAATTGCATCTGAAAAAACCTTACTTCCAGACAAGGTCACATTCCCACGTTCTGGGTGGATGTGACTTTGAAATGATTATCAAGTAGATCCAGTTCCATTTACAGTAATGAGCAGAGAGTGAATGAGGCATTAATGCACTTTCACATGGCACGAACACCTGACATTCACTGAATTTTAATAGAAGCTGGCATTGGTGCTAACTCCTTACGCACTTTATGTCAGTAGATTCTCACTGAAGGAAGTTGCTATTTTATCCCACTTTACGAATGAGAAAACTGAGATGCGGAGAGGTCACCAAGTCAAACTCAAGCAACACCCCAGTACCCCGTGGTGATCAGGCTGAAGCGATGACTAAATGCCATTTGCTCCTGATGACACCATCACAAGCACTGAAGCCACCAAGGGCTGTTGGGCCTGTGCAGAGGAGAGGCAGACTCAGGCCCTCCCCATGGACGGGAGGGCTGTCTTCCATGTACACCTTGGTCGGAGTCCGCAAGGGTGGGGAGGTGACTGTGCACTGGCCTTTGGTTTGCAATGCCTTTGCTGGCGCTGCTGGAATGGCCTTTGGTTTGCGATGCCTTTGCTGGCGCTGCAGGAATGGCTGTGCGGAGTGCTGTATGGTGCTGGGACTGCGCTCCCCGGCAGGAGCTGCTGGAATGGCCTTTGGTTTGCGATGCCTTTGCTGGCGCTGCTGGAATGGCTGTGCGGAGTGCTGTATGGTGCTGGGACTGCGCTCCCCGGCAGGAGTTGCTGGAATGGCTGTGCGGAGTGCTGTATGGTGCTGGGACTGCACTCCCTGCGAGGAGCTGCGGGAATGGCCTTTGGTTTGCGATGCCTTTCCTGGCGCTGCTGGAATGGCTGTGCGGAGTGCTGTATGGTGCTGGGACTGCGCTCCCCGGGAGGAGCTGCTGGAATGGCTGTGCGGAGTGCGCTATGGTGCTGGGACTGCGCTCCCCGGCAGGAGTTGCTGGAATGGCTGTGCGGAGTGCTGTATGGTGCTGGGACTGCACTCCCTGCGAGGAGCTGCTGGAATGGCCTTTGGTTTGCGATGTCTTTGCTGGCGCTGCTGGAATGGCTGTGCGGAGTGCTGTTTGGTGCTGGAACTGCGCTCCCTGCGAGGAGCTACTGGAATGGCTGTGCGGAGTGCGCTCTGGTGCTGGGACTGCGCTCCCTGCGAGGAGCTGCTGGAATGGCTGTGCGGAGTGCGCTATGGTGCTGGGACTGCGCTCCCCGGCAGGAATTGCTGGAATGGCTGTGCGGAGTGCTGTATGGTGCTGGGACTGCGCTCCCTGCGAGGAGCTGCTGGAATGGCTGTGCGGAGTGCGCTATGGTGCTGGGACTGCGCTCCCCGGGAGGAGCTGCTGGAATAGCTGTGCGGAGTGCGCTATGGTGCTGGGACTGCACTCCCCGGGAGGAGCTGCTGGAATGGCTGTGCGGAGTGCGCTATGGTGCTGGGACTGCGCTCCCCGGCAGGAGCTCCTGGAATGGCTGTGCGGAGTGCGCTATGGTGCTGGGACTGCGCTCCCCGGCAGGAGTTGCTGGAATGGCTGTGCGGGGTGCGCTGTGGTGCTGGGACTGCGCTCCCCGGAAGGAGTTGCTGGAATGGCTGTGCGGGGTGCGCTGTGGTGCTGGGACTGCGCTCCCCGGGAGGACTTCGGAAGTTGTTTGTAGGCATTACAGTCTTGTCTGCCATTGCCACGTTGACACAGGGTCAAGCCACCTCCAGGGCCTGTATTCCTCTTCAGGCGGGCGGGCAGGAATGCTCAGGACCCGTGATGATGGCGCCATGCAGAGGTCAGGGATGAATGACGCCCAGGCAGGGGAAGGAGTCCAGCAGCTCAGTGTTTGGGGAATGGGGCCGGGGGCAGGTAAAAACTTCGAATCAAGGCAAACAAATAGCTGGAAAATACAGTAGCTGTTAAGTTCTGATGGAAAAGCTGTTTTGTACTTACAGTTAAATCCCACAGTATTTTTGATGCGTTTCTGGGTTACTTGCTCTTCCCTTCTCAAAAGGTCCCAATCTCACCAGAGCGTCCCTTCCTGCTCCGGCCCCAGCTCTCCACGCCTCCCGGAGACCGGGGGCCTCTACCCTTGCTCCCCTGGGACGGCGCTTCCCCCCTTCTTCTCCAGGTCTGGGCTGGGGTCTTCAGGCTCAGGTGGAAGGTGGTTTCGGGCCCTTTGCCTGCACAGGGACGACGCCCTGACCCAGGAAAAGCTTAACGTTGCCTGTCACTTGGACGCATCTCTTGGCAGTGACGGGGGTGGAAATCCTCACCGCAGCCCGTGGCTCCTGCATGATTGTTGTGAGAAAGCCACCGCTCAGCTGCATGCATGGAGACAGGGTCCTCCTGGCTGCGAAATGCTAAGATCGTTTTCCCTATGAAGAGAACGGTGCCAAGTTTTCCAAAATGTATCAGATCATGATTGACTTGACTGAAGCGGGAAATGAAAGTGGGTTGGAGCGTTCCTGCCAAAGACAAGCGTGGCCGCCGTGCCCTCGCTGATGCCGGGCTCTCCCCTCCACAGCCACGGTGCCGGGCCCTCTCCCGGTAACTGGACACGTGTCTCCCACAGGACACGCGCTGGCACTAAACCCACACTGCCCATCTCGGAGACAGGCGGAGGAACTCCCCGGCTGAGATGCGGGAAGCACTGGGGTGCAGGGACTTCGCAGGGCGCCGCAGCTCAGGACTCGGAGCAGGTGGGCCTGGACCTCCCTCGGCCACACCACGCCGCATGTTTCCAGCCGCCACCGCAGTGGCTGGACAAGATCTGAGTGTAGGAGCAGCTCCGCCGAGGCTCCCGGCATATTTCTGTGTACCCCGTGGTTCCCAGTCCGTTCTGCACTTTCGTCCTGGAGGTTTTATTTACAAGTTAATGACAATGAGCCAGAATGTGAGCCTGCTTAGTGAGAGGAAGGAAAATGCCTTCCGTTTGTACAAACCGGTTCCAAAACTAAGGGCTGACTTTCAGGCGTTGGCTTCCACTTATTCTGAGGACTGGCTGGAAGCGCAGGAGAGGAAGGAAAAGCTGAAACAAAATGCTGACTTTTAAATTCTGATTTTTAAGTGGAATCGTTATAACCAGTATGGAAAAATGTTTATGTTTTACCAACTTTACCTTGTATGCAGAATCCCAAGTGAGGGCGTATTAAAAAGTCACTTGTGTAAGTGACTGTTGAACTTAGAGAAGCAGAGAGCAGCACAGTGGCCTCCAGAGGGCAGTGGGGAGATGCTGGTCACAGGCACAAAGTCTCCGGCAGGAGGAGGACGCCTCAGATCTGCTGCACCGCATGGGGCACACGCTTTGTCATAATGATCACATATTTCACAATTGCTAAAATAATAGGTTTTTTTTTTTGTTTTTGAGACAGAGTCTTGCTCTGTCACCCAGACTGGAGTGCGGTGGCACAATCATAGCTCACCGTAGCCTTGACCCTCCTGCCTCAGCCGCCCGCATGGCTGGGGCTACAGACACTCACCACCATGCCTGGCTAATTTTTAAATTTTTTGCAGAGATGCAGTCTCACTACGCTGCCCAGGCTGGTGTTGAGCCCTTAGGCTCAAGAGATCCTCCAGTCTGAAACTCCCAAAGTGCTGGGACCATGCCCAGCCACTAAAATAATAGATTTTAAATGTTCTCACTGCCAAAAAAAAGATGTGAGGTGATATGTTAATTAACTTGATATAATCTCTCCATAATGTAAAGGTATCGAAACCATGCTTAAAACGTAAATATATGCAGTTATTATTTGTCAACTAAAAATACAAATTTTAATTTAAACAAAGTCACTTGCATACAGGAGAGGGCATTGCCAGCATGATCAGGCTCCCTTCTGAAATTCAGTGTGAAGTTAGATCCTGTCCTCGGAGACGAGCAGAGCCCAGGTCATTCTGAGAGCAGGTTCGTCTGCACCTGGCCCTCACACATGGAACCAAAAAGACCTGGCCTGGGAGTGAGGCTCTTTGTGAATTTTAATGCACCCAGGATACCTTTGTTAGCCACAGCAAGGGTAGTGCCAGCAAGTCCCCTGGGCCCCTAATGAGCCTGACTGACCCCAGGGGCAAGGCCAGGTGTTTTGTGCATCCATGGTCGCAGGGGCCTGCGTGCTCAGCACGCCTTCTTCCTGAAGGACCCGCCTGCGAATCGCAGATCCCGCTCTGAGCAGGAACCTTTGCCACGTGGATCCTCTGTGGCCTCCTGCAAACAAGTGTTCGTCCGGGAGCCAGAAACTTCCCTCTGGCATGACGAGGAAGAAGGACGGTTCATCTTGCCAGCAGTCCTTTGTGAAAACAGCTCCTGTCCGGACCCTTCGGTCTTGTATCGAGTGTGTGCTGTTACCGGAGCAGTCAAAATTCAGATGTTATTAATATTTGTTCTGCATTTTTGCAGGAGAGTGCCGGGATGGAAGGCCGGGATACTCACAGGCTGCCGAGAGCCCTCTGAGGGCAAACAGGCAGGACACTGATCCCACAGAACAGCTTCGTGTTCCCAAAATCACCGTACAACTGTTTTCCAAACACAGGCAAATCCAAAATCACCAGGACGACTGTTTTCCAAACACGTGCAAATCTAGCACCATGTTATAATTACTCTCAGGCATGGATGAATAAATATTGTAGCTGCATTTGTCTAGCCTTTTCTTGTAAGCATTGCCTGATTTGTTCCTTCTGGGGCTTTGCCATTAAAATGTATTTACAGATTACACATCTTTATTTTGCGAACCCCGGAAACACTACTCTTGCCATCATCCTATCTCCACCTTCTGGTGTCTCTGACGCTGTGCTCATCTGCATTCTGCCCCGGCGGTCCCTCCGGCACTGGCATTTCCACACCCGCTGCCCATCACCAGGTGTCCGCAGGGCCTGCATCGGGCTTCCCTCTTCTCCTGAGAAGAGCACTCCTGGCTTCCTGCAGGGCCGGTGGGAGGAGGAAAGTGATTCTGAGGGAGAGGCTGGAGCCTTAAGTACCAACAGGGCAAAGTGACTTGTCTCATCCTCTAGAGATTCACCAACATGTCAGCCTCAGACCCCAGGCTTCTGCCTCCAGCAGCCGCCCTGCCGCGCACCCCTCTCACCCCTCCTCATCCCCCTCACTCACGGGGAACACAGCCCAGTGATGCCGGAGGAATCCCCCTCCTTGACTCAGCTAGGCAGCCTGGGGGGCACCGTTAGCCACGCTGGCCCTGTAAAGCTGCTGTCCTCATTTCATGTGTGAAGCAGCTGAATTCCAGAGTGCTGGGTCCCAGCCCAGGCAGCCCTCAGCCTCACCCAAGGAAATAGTCAGGGGTCCTTCAGCATTGAAAGCAAACGCAGGCGCATCTGACCTGGAGCTCTACCTCCACTAAGAAGAGAGTAGTAACTAATCATGGATGAAACAGGCCGTCTACGCAGCACTTAATGGTCTCACCCACGGATGCCAACAGTGGCCTGGGAGGGCTGTGAACGTTTCGCTTCAGGATGTTTTATTTCGCTGGAGTGTTCTGTAGAGAATGCGTAGTTTGCTTTTTATAACTTTTGTAACCCAAAAATACCAGACTGTTGTTTTCTCTAGGTGCTAGGCCATCCTGTTCTACGTGTTCCCAAACTCTTAGTTGTGTTCATGTAAAACTCATTCATGATCTCAGAATTAAAACAGTATGAAAAATATCCTGGCAAATGTCACAGATTGCCCTTATCACACCTGTAAGCAGTCCATTCTCACACTGCCGTAAAGAACCACCCGAGACTGGGTCATTTATAGAGAAAAGAGCTTTAACTGGCTCCGGGCTGCACAGGCGGGGCAGGTGGCATGGTGCTGCCATGTGCTCGGCTTCCGGGGAGGCCTCTGGAAACACAGTCACGGCGGAAGGGGCAGGGGCAGGAGGCCCATCACAGGGCAGGAGCTGGGAGCCGCGAGGGAGAGGAGGGAGAGAGGCAGCCACACACGGAGGCCACCAGATCGCAGGAGACTCACTCCCTGCACAGGACCAAGAGGGGTGGTGCTGGACTCTTCCTGAGAACCCACCCCGTGATCCCATCACCTCCCAGCAGGCCCCTCCTCCAACACTGGGAATGACAGTCCCACATGAGACTGGGTGGGACACAGAACCAAACCGTATCAACACCCAGGGAAGGGACACGACGCGGCTTCTGCAGAGGAGCTGCCGAGAGTTACCATCAGCGGCTGAGGAGAGACACAGGGAACCGCAGCAATGCACAACGCATCAGCTCCTGCTCTGGGCAGCAAAGCGGGGCGGCCGCCCAACCTCTGGATCATTTCCACCAAGGGAACACAGGCCTCCTGCTTCAGCCGCCGCCCTGCCACGCACTGGAACACACTGACTGGGGAGCGGTCTTCCCTTCCACCTCGGAGCCTCTCGCTGACACCAAAACCAGGAACCCTGGCCTGATGCGGTGCCTGTGTCACCTCCGCCCTCTAGGATTAGCCAGAAGAAGCAGTGCCATACAGTGATGGTTAACGTCAGGCCTCAACCTGGCTGGCTGGAGGGAGGCCCAGCTGGCTGGTGAGGTCTTGTCTCAGCCTCAGCTAGATGGATGGATAAGAGGATAAGCTGTTTTGGAGGAGACTGGGGTGTGAGTCAGCAGACTGAGGGGAAGACCTGCCTGAATGTAGGATGGGCACCATCCAATCCTGGATGGAACTAAAAGGCAGCTCTGTCTCTCTCCTAGAGCTGGGACACTCTTCTCCTCCTGTCCTTGGACATCAGCACTCTAGGCTCTTGGTCTTTAAACTCTGGGCTTGCAGCAGCACTCCCTGCCCTGGGCTCTCAGGCCTTCAGCCTTGGACTGAGTCACACCATTGTCTTCCCTGGCTCTGAGGCCTTGTGACTTGGGTACTGAGTCACACGACCAGCATCTCAGAGTCTCCAGCTCTAAGACAGCCTGTCACGGGACTTCTCAACCTCCATCATCACATTTCTCCTACTGCATATCCTCTTTCCATCCATCTAGCTAGCTATCTGTTTGTCTATCATCTATCTGTCTGTCTGTCTATCTATCTAATCTATCATCTATCTATCTAATCTATCATCTATCACCTATCATCTATCTATCTATCACCTATCTATCATCTATTTGTCTGTCTATCTATCTATCTATCTATCTATCTATCTATCTATCTATCTATCACCTGTCTCTCTATATAGCTACCTACCTATCTATCCAGCCTATTGGTTCCGTCTCACTGCAGAATGCTGACTATAGTGATACACGTATTTTAAGAGTCCCGGCATGATTATGCACTGATGGCTCACAGCCTCGACAATCCCCAATGATGGGATCAGCCTTAATTTGTGTGCACCATCTTCACAGGGCTACAATCCTGACACTCCTTGGAGTCAAGGGGTTTAGGGTATTAGTTACTTTATGGGTCTAATGATCTTGGTTGATATGCTGCCAGGATTTGTAACAAGTTTGCCAAATCTCAATCTATTTAAAGATCTAACTGAGAAGGCTGCGCCTGGCTAAGTATCCAGGGAGTCGGTCCGCTTGCTTCCCAGGCCTTTCTGTGTTTGTCACACCATCCACTCACTTTCATTATTTCTGTTGGGCCATTCACAGGAGAATTTCAGGCAAACTGGCCGCGGCTTTGGCCTCTTACTGGGATGATTGGCACCATGTGATGTTAACCCTGGAGACCACCACAAGGTCACTCTGTACGGCCCCTTGATTTTGGAGAGGAACTAGCTGAGCCCCAGGCATTGGAAGTGAATTGCTTAGAGTCACATAACAAATTTAAGTTCAGGAAGAGATAACAACACACTTCACCATCAGCACTTGGTAGGACTGCCTCACCCCTGCCATGCGCTAACGGCCCCATCATCTCTACCCAACCTCGATGTCCCCAAATTGTGCGTGCTATTTGGTTGACTGCTTCTTCCTTACTAAACATTCTGCTATTCGTGAATGACTCTGGCCAAATTAATGAGAGCCATACGACCTACTGGCCTTGTAACACCCATTCCTTGTGAATATGACACATGTGGGAACACACCCAGCCGTCCCCTGGGAGCGGGAGTTCGGAGTGTGTGGGGTCCTACAAGTCATGGATCTCTCACTAAGGATGTAATTTCTGAGTGAATTGGTCTTTCCTTGAAAAAAGAAAGAGGGAAACTGTATCCCAGCAAATGCGGGTTTCCATGAGCAGACAGCGCCACCTGCTGGGTGACTTGGGAAACAGCAGAATCACCATTTTTCTGGACCTGCATCTTCATTCTGCTCAAAGAGCACACGTGTCTATTTGATTCCAGGGCGCTGGATATGTGCGTGGCACATGGAAGCCTTTATTTTACTTTTTGGGTTTTTCATGCTTGTAGTTAAACATCACCACTTTCTCACTCAGCTGTGACTGTCAAGAGCCTTGCGCCCTGTGGTCTTACTGAGATCTGGAATAAGGGAGAGAACCTCAGGACGCCCATGTCAGCAATAGCTTTGCAGACGCCTTCTCAAAAGCCACAGACCCCAGACATGCTAAGGACAGGCACTACTCGTTGCTTACAGACTCACGTACTTACCCGAGCGTCCACTTAGGGCCGCAGATGGGAGGATTGACGGGAAGAAAGGCCGGGAAAGGACAAAGGCTGGAAGGTGCATGTCCTCTGACCTGTAGGCAGCTACTAGGTTCAAACAGTGAAGGGCGTCGGGCCCAGGCAGAGCCCAGAGCCTCTGTGAACCCAGAGCTTTCCTAATAAAGTCTGCTCCCTGGGCAGTGAGAGTTTCCATAGGATGCATGGTGTAGCCTTGGACTCAGGGGTGTGCGTCCTCCCTGTGAACAGATGGGTGAAGCAGAAACTCCACACACAGGGAAGCACAGTCTATGAAGAAAGCTCACCCAGGACACAGCACACATGGAGATGTCAGCACGTGTCGGGGGTTGGGAGAGGGTCACGGTCTCTTCGCTCATGACTTCCTGCAGCCAAGAATGCAATCTGCAATTAGGGCACCAGACCGGGGGTCGTGGAGGAGCACTATTCCTGAGGGCAGGGGGACCCTTATCCCTGGGAGTCAAGGGGGAGCACTATTCTTGGGGTTGGGGGCAGCTCTAGGCCTGGGGGAAATGGGAGCACTCTCCCGGTGGGGCGGGGAGGGAGCACTTGGCCTGGGGCTGGGAGAGACAGGTGGAGTCTTGGGTTTGGGTGTCAGACCCTGCAGGTTTCCGTCCTCTGCCTGTGTTGGTTTCCTGGGGTCGCGTCACGGACTCCCACACACGGGGTGGCTCCACACAGGGAATGGACGCTCTCCCCATGGCGGAGTCCAGCACTCCCAGATGGAGGTGTCTGCAGGGCCATGATCCCCCTGGAGACTCTTCGGGGCCCTTCCTTGTCTCTTTCAGGTTCTGGGGGCTCCAGGCAAACCTGACCGGGGCTGCCCCGATCCAATTCCGCTGCCTCTGCGTCTCCTTTCCCTCTGTCTGTGGAAAACCCCTCAGCCTCCCTTTGGAATGGGCATGGGTTTGGCACTCAGACACCCCCAGGTGGCCTGGGCAGCTCTCCCACTCTCAAGGCCCTAATCTTTTCCCTCTAAAGATCCTTTTTCCTTCTCCACGGAAGGTCTCATTCACAGGTTCCAGGGACTCAGATATCTTTCAAGGAATCAGTTTTCAGCCTTCCACATCGCCATGAACTGTCTTGAAATAAAACCTCAAATCCTATAATATTTATTGTCAAGAAGAGACACCTCTCAATAACGGTGAAATCCTGTGATCAGCGAAATAAGTATGTCATGTGAGTATGTCGATAAGCATTACACACACAGAAAGAAACAAACACCGCACACACAGCCAGAATCACTCACACCACCCACCACACATACCACACACACAGCCAAAAATCACACCACCCACCACACACACACCACACACACACAGCCAAAATCACTCACACCACCCACCACACACACACCACACACACCTTCCCCACAGCCAGCCAAAAATCACTCACACCTCCTACCACACACACACTACACCTGCACACACACCACACAGATACAACACACCACACCTGCACACACACCACACAGATACAACACACACTACACCTGCACACACACCACACAGATACAACACACCACACCTGCACACACACCACACAGATACAACACACACCACACCTGCACACACACCACACAGATACAACACACACCACACCTGCACACACACCACACAGATACAACACACACCACACCTGCACACACACCACACAGATACAACACACACCACACCTGCACACACACCACACAGATACAACACACACCACACCTGCACACACACCACACAGATACAACACACACCACACAGATACAACACACACCACACCTGCACCCAGAGATGTCACACCACCACTCCTGTTTAGGAGCATGGAAGGGCTTTTTTTCACCCTATCAGCGAAGGGGAATCAACCCGTAAGAACTCTACTGGCTGGGCGCGGTGGCTCACGCCTGTAATCCCAGCACTTTGGGAGGCCGAGACGGGCGGATCACGAGGTCAGGAGATCGAGACCATCCTGGCTAACAAGGTGAAACCCTGTCTTTACTAAAAATACAAAAATTAGCCGAGCGTGGTGGCGGTGCCTGTAGTCTCAGCTACTCGGGAGGCTGAGCCAGGAGAATGTCGTGAACTCGGGAGGCGGAGCTTGCAGTGAGCCGAGATGGCGCCACTGCACTCCAGCCTGGGCGGCAGGGTGAGACTCTGTCTCAAAAAAAAAAAAAAAAAAAGAAAGAAAGAAAGAAAAAAAAAGAACTCTACCAAGAAAAAATGACACTTCATTGGTCAGTGAGAGACTATTTAAGGATAAGTATTTTTAGTCAGTGTTTAACTTACGTACATAAAAACTCAATGAAATCATAAGACAGCATTAAATAGCTTGTTTAAAATAAACCGAGGGAACTCGCCTCTTGGGAATCTTTAAAGTACAGAATGAAACAGTGGTCAGAGCCTGACTCTTTGTTTTACCACTAAAAAAAATGTAATGCACTTTTCATGACTCTGCCATTCTTGCAGGCAATTTCATATGCATTTTCTGACTCCCCCATCGGGGTTCAAAATGCAATACCCCAAATGCAACACCTTGGAGAACGGCCTGCTTTGAGCTGAGGGAGACCCGGAAGTCCACAGAAGCGAGAAGTCCTCTCTGGCCTTCACCCTCCTTCTCCCCACAAAAGGCATAATGGAAACTAGGGCTCTTCTCCCTGAAAGCAAAAGCCATAAAACTGGGAGGGTAGCTCTCTGCCTCCCTGCTTCTCCCAGGAAAGGCCTCGAGTGTCCGTGTCCTGCCCAGCACCCAGGGGACGATCCCAGCACAGATCCAAGAAGGATTCTGCTAAGGGGCCTGGCCGGGCTCCCGGCTCACCAGCTCCAGGACATGCGTTTCTGTCCACTCTTAGAACTCCCTGGCTCCTGCTTCCTTCCTCAGGCTTAGCAGAAGAATTCCGTTTCCCGGGGCCTTGGGTCCTCATGTGTGGTACAAGGCCTTGGCTAAACACGCGTGCCATGCCCTCCTCTTGTCGGTGTGAGTGTCCACCACGAGCCTTGCAACAGGTGAGGAGAAGGAAACCGTCTCCGGGATGGACTGGCCCCACATCCCTCCCTCCTGCCCTCACCCACCCTTGGTCTCTACAGGAGCGAGTTTCATCCCAGGTTGGGCCCAGTCCCCAGGGCCAGCACCTGTCCGCGGAGGACCTCTAGTCCTCAGTCCTGGTAAGTAATTGGATCCCGGAGCAGCTGGAGCCTGGCGGCTCTTTTCCTAGAGCAATGATCCATACTTAACAGGTGCTCCAGGGAGAGCATAAAAATGGCCATCCCAAAGAGAAAAGCAGACAGGCCAAGCTTTGATGGGCAAGATCTGATCTGACCTTGGGTGGTAAGGGAAAAAACTGTACTTGTAAATTAGGTTTTTTCTAAACCTTCAGTATTAGCTAAGACTTATTAGCTAAGATGGACTTTGTCTCTGAACGACCTTAGTGTTGTAATGGGATAAATAGGTCTTCCATCTTATTATTCAAGAAAACACTTTCCAGGCGAAGGTTCTTCACCTTAACCTAGTCAATGCATTTCTTCCCTTTTCTTAAATCTTCCTGCCTCCCCCATCCATCCTTCCCTCCCTTCCTCTCTCCTTCCATTCCTTCCTTCCTTTTCTTCTTTCTTCCTCCCCTCCTCCATCTTTTCCTCCTTTCCTCTTTTCTTCTTAAAATTCAAGATGGCAGCTGCAACTCAAGCTCTCACGTGGCTCCCATTGAGAAGTTTCATGAGATAATCCAAGCAGAGAGATGACTACAGTGCCCGCCCATAGTAGTTACTCAGTGGCTTCTAGGTCCTTCTCACGGAAACCGGACTGACACTCCTGAGGCTGCAGGGCAGGTAAGCCTTGGCCCAGAGGGAGGCAGAGAGCAGCCATATGGTGCAGAACAGGCATGGTGCAGAGGTGGACGCACATTTTCCAGATTGGTTCTAATTTTTCAGGGCATCCGTTTTGTGCTGTGGCCCCACCCCAGCCAGGTAAATAGAGACAAGTTCCACCTGCCATAGGATCCCCCGCCCCCTCTCCAGACACATGACACCTGCTGCTTCTCTTCTGCAGCTGACAGCAGGGCTTCTCCTGGTGGGTCCCCAGCCCTCCATCAGCCCCTGGCTTCGGGCACTCACCCCAGCCCATCTCATGTGGCACTGTTGGCGCAAAGATGTCCCTGCTACGGGAGCCCACTCCTGTAGACCAGCAGAGCCTGACTGAGCTGGACCCGTTGGGCTGGAGGACTTTGCCACGGTTCTGTTGAGTCAACTGACCTGCCTGACGATACTGCTACTGCTGTCACCCAGTGTGCAACCACAGGCCCCGTGCCCGCGTTTCACAGCTAAGGAATAGCAGATCCTGTGCGAGGAGGGAAGGAAGGAAGGAAGGAAGGGAGAAATGGAGGGAGGCAAGGAGGGAGGAAAGGGGAAAGGGAGAGACAGAGCGCAGGGCTGCTGGGCGGAGAGACCTGGGCCGGGCCAGGCCAGGCTTGGCCGTGTGAGGAGCACCTGTCCTTCAGGAAGGGACCTTGGAGATCAGGGAGCAGGCTGCTGACAAACGACTTATTTCTCCTCCCTCTGAACTCCCAAATTCCCAGAAATCTGCCTCGGAAGTGGGGAGAGCGGAGAGGCTGTGAGGTTGGACCGAGGGGGGCCACGGTCTCACCATCCATCCCACGTGGGCCACCCCTGGACGCTTCGTTCGCAAGCCTGGTACTGTCCTAAGACGTGGTTTGATTTTTAAGGGCGGAGAGACGGGCTCAGCCGCTGGAATGACGCTTTCCGCTGCTGGTGGAATCCAGCCCCTCCGTCTTTGGGGGATGTGGGGTCTCTGCCTCCTGCAGTGACAGCGCGAGGATGACCCGGCCCGGCCTCCCGCTCCCCAGCGCGGGCACCTGCGGCCGGAGACGCGGCTCTGCAGCGCCACCTAGCGGCCGCCCTGCGTCTTCCCAAAGCGGAGCCTTAGGACAAAGCTTCCTTTCCAGGAGGTCCCTGCAGGTTTCTGCGGAGCCGGAGTCTGAATCACTGTCTCCCGAGTGACTCCTAACCCTGGAAACTCGCTGCCGCTCCTTGGGGCTGGTGGTCGTGCCAGTTGCTGCGTCAGAGCAGTTGGGTGCCCACAGGCTGAGGACGCCGGGGCCAGGGTGAGGGTGAGGCTCCACCCCAGGGCTCCAGAGACCCTGAATTTTGCACTTGACTCTCCTTAATCTCTCCCAAAGCCTGATCCTTCTCATCCCCCTGAGGGCCTGAGGGCCCCTACCTGCATGATGGAGGGGTGGGGTGCCACGATCTTAAAGACCTTCCAGTTCCCAGGGTGACAAGATTCTAACCACGTTGCACATGGAACACTTTTCGGTGCAATGACCCCAAACAACATCCCGGCCTGTGCAGTTCCCACTCGCAGAGATCCAAAAGTCGGTGGGTGACGACCCACGTGTGAAAAGGGCGCTAGAGAGCTGCCTGCAGTCTCATGTCCCCCCACCCCCTGCCCTCCGCGTGCTCAGCACCTGAACGTCTTCACAGAGACAGGGCAGAGTCTGTTTAAAAGGAAGCTCCGACAGTCTCCCTAGGAAGAAACGGCGCCACCTCAGGCACGTGGACGATTTCTGGGGATGGAATTGTCGCAATGACGAGGAAATCCCCTGTGGTTTAATGGGCAGAGTCCCAAGGTGCTTGACATCCTGACCAGCACAGGGCAGCCACCTCCTGCAGAAGCTGAAAAAACGGCAAGAAAAATAGACCCATAACTAGTTTGAGTAGTTGTAATGTGCACTGAGACAAAAAGTCTTTACACTTTTTTTTTTTTTTCTTTTTGAGATGGAGTCTCACTCTGTCGCCCAGACTGGAGTGCAGTGGCGTGATCTCGGCTCACTGCAACCTCTACCTCCCAGGTTCAAGCAATTCTCCTGCCTCAGCCTCCCTAGTAGCTGGGATTACAGGTGTGTGCCACCACGCCAGCTAATTTTTGTATTTTTAGTAAGATGGGGTTTCACCATGTTGGCCAAGCTGGTGTCTATCTCCTGGCCTCAGATGATCTGCCCACCTCGGCCTCCCAATGTGCTGGGATTACAGGCATGAGCCACTGCACCTGGCCCTTTTCACAATTTTAATTGCACTAAACTTTCATAGAAGGCTGACAGCACATAAACACGATTATGTGTCTTTGCAGTGCTCAAGCTTCAATACTGAGAATCCAAAAATATGATGAAGTGTAGAGTTTATTCGAACATGAAGTTTGAGGATAGCCACATAGGAAACAGAGACTCCCAAAATGGAAAGTTAAAGTCTCATTTACATAGTCAGAGGCAGAGGTTTGACAGGTTGCAGCCTTTTCCAACAAGATCAGGACATAGGTTATAGTGATTGAACTTGATTGGTCATAGCTCGCTATACTTTAAGGAAGATTGTTTTAACATTCCATAAAGAAGGGTAATGGTCTTGAGGGGAGTCTCACTTCTGGTGCTATTCAGTCTTTCCTAATCATTACAGGACAAGAATGAGGGAGAGATTTGACCCGGAATAAAGAAGTAGAAGGTACAGCTTCATGCCATGCGACACAGGCCCCACCGCCACATTCCTCTCAAGGCTCAAAATCAGGTACAGTTCTGACAGCTTTCAATTTGGATTATTTAATTTCACATCTCCCCCTTTTCAACATGATCTTTTGAAGAAGGCTTAGTAGCTGAACGCAGATGGTTTGGGATCTCTGTCTGTGTAGGGGCTTAGTCCCACACACCTAGAAGGTTCATTCCTAGGACGTTGTCTCCCATGGCTAGGGCCATGTGCCAAGCTATGCAGAACTGATGGGGTATAGGCCGAACCTGGAGCCACATGAGGGAAGTGACGTGGTGACCTGGGTCAGGCTGCACAGCTGCATCCTCCGTTAATGGGATTCTGTGAGTGACAATTATTTTAGTATCTTCAGTTGTGGATTGACTCCATTGCACACCACACAGTGAAGACAAAACAGGCTAGAACCCAGCCAACGACTGATTAACAGCTTCTTCCGCCAAGTTCCCCAAGACCCACACCAGTTGCTTAACCAACTGTGTGGAGAGGGTGTTGGATCTGAAAGTTTGGTTATTGGGTTTTCATATCAGTATTTAATTTAAGGTCATTATCTGAGTCATCTGGGTTCGGGACATGACGTTCAGTCTTTGTGATGGTTCCCTCTGCAGCTGCAGCGAGTCTGAGGCCATAGGAGCCTGTAATGCAGCCTTTCTCATAAAAGCATCTTCGCTGTTTATTAACGCGGCACACGTGACTATCATTCGGGGCCTTTTTCAGTTCGGAGGGACACTGTCCTTCCCTTCTGGGACTTACCTCGTCCTCCTAGAGGACCTTTTATAATTCTGGTCACTCAAGAAGAGAGTTTAGATTTGTTTATTGAGTCGGCCTTCAGAATCTGGCCAGTTTTGAACATTACACATTTTGCTCAATCCACAAAGCTTCAATTTCTCTTTTCAAAGAGAAACTGTTTTCTCCCTGACCAAAATTTCAAATGGGAGAAAAAGTTCTAGAAACTCTAATGAGTAATTCAAAACAGAACCTTAACCTCTGAAAAAAAAAATCAAAGTCTTGAATCTGGGGTCAGCAGAATCCCTGAAGAATAACAAACAAAACCCCAAACTTGCAGTAGGTCTTCCAACCCTATCAAGTTAGCAATTTGTGTGGCTCAAATAAAAGTCAGAACTTCAACAAGCTGGGAGGTTCGGACCCGAGAAGGTCCTTCCCAGAGGTCCCTGTTGACTTGAGCGAGGCCAGGTGAACCCACACCGTGTGTGCTGACAGCATGGCTCTGGCTGTTGGTGATGTAACAGGGATCACTGGAGGCCCACTTCACATCCCTTTGTGGTTAGCAAAATGTCAATCTTTAATCATGAAATTTGGAAAAGGTGATTCAGTATGGAGTTTATTTGAGTGTGAAACTTGAGGGTCGTCACCTGGGAAACATAGACTCTAGACGAATGGGCTCTGCTTTTAAAGTGAGAAGTTAAAGTTTCATGTTATAAGTAGAGACAGAAGTATAACAGGGCTGCGGCCTGTTCCAAGGAGGTCACAAGTTAAATCTGTTTCACTTGATTGCTCACAGCTTGCTACATTCCAAGGAAACTCACTTTAACTTTCCACAAAGAGGGGTCATCCTCTGGAGGGGTCTCACCTCTGGTGCCATTCAGTCCTTCCTAATCATTTACAGGACAAGAATGGGGAAGAGATTTGACCTAGAATCAAAGAAGTTGCAGCTTCACACCATGTGACTCAGGCCACACAGCCACGTTCCTCTCAAGGTGCAAAATGATCTTAACTTTCAACAGCTTTAGGTCTGAATTATTTAATTTCACAGGGACTTTATACCAAGGTTTTCCACATTGCACAAAGATCACCACACCTTCCAAAACCCTGCTCAGGATGTCTTAGTCACTCCTTCAAAATAGGAACTGGAAATAAAAAGCATTGAGACTGTTTTGTTGACAATTGCTTTACTTCGTTTTTATCTTCATTAGCAGGCATTAGGCAACCGTAACCAACCTTCTAGGCAGTTGTCAATGATCACTGTCATATTAAAGTGCATGTTATATATTATAAATTTCCTTCACTTTATTTCTCCTTTATCTTACAGCATTATGTTGATTTTTTTAACTATATGGAAAGTGAAGTTACATGAGCTATAAATTCCCCATTACATGATGAAGCCACATTACAAAAGACTCGCTGTATTAGAAGAGGGCAGTGGAAAGTCTTGTTTAAAATTTAGTGCTAAAATTCTCACTAAAATGTAAGTCACTGATAGTGTCCCTTTGCCTCAGAAGAGACATAGAAATAAGAGGGGTAAGTTTGGGGGTTGCACAGACAATGCTTGCTGAAGTTTTCTATCCTTCCCTGAGCCTCGGGGATGGAGCTGGGGTCATACCAGGTGGCTTTCTGGATATCATCACTTCTTCCTCCCAGAAGCCGCATTGGATGTGTGCGTACATATGTATGTGTGATGCATGTGTGTGGTGTATGTGGTGTGTGCATGTATGATGTGTATGTGGTATGCAGAGTATCTGTGTGTATGCATATGTGATGCATGTCTGTGGTGTGTGCTGTGTGGGTTTATGCATGTGTGGTGTGTGTGAAGTGTGTTGTGTATACATGTGTGTGTGGTGTCTGATGTGGAGTATGTGTGTACATGTATGTGTGTGTGATGCGTGTGTGGTGTGCGGAGAATGTGTGCATGTGTGATGCACTGTGTGGAGAATGTGTTGTATGGGTGTGCATATGTGTGGTGTGTAGAGTGTGTGTGTGCATATATGTGTGTGATGCATGTCTGGTGTGTGCTGTGTCTATGGGTTTATGCATGTGATGCATGTGTGTGAAGTATGTCGCATGTGTGTATACATGTATGATGTGTGGTGTCTGGTGTGTGGAGTATGTGTGCATGCATGTGTTGTACATGTATGTGTGATGCATTGTGTGTGGAGAATGTGTTGTATGGGTGTGCATGTGTGGTGTGTAGAGTGTGTATGCACGTGTTTGTGTGCATATATGTGTGTGATGCATCTCTAGTGTGTGCTGTGTGTGTATGGGTTGATGCATGTGTGTGGTGTGTGGAGTATGTGTGCATGTGTGTGTGCTGTGTGTGCATATAAGCGTGTATGATGTGTGTGGTGTGTAGAGTATCTGTGCATATATGTTTGTGATGCATGTCTGTGGTGTATGCTGTGTGTGGGTTTATGCATGTGTGATGCATGTATGTGTTGTGTGTACAGGTATGTATATGTGATGCATGTGTGTGTAGCATGTGTGATGCATTGTGTGGAGAATGTGTTGTATGGGTGTGCATGTATGATGTGTGTAGTGTGTAGTGTGTATGCACATGTGATGCATGTCTGTAGTGTGTGCTGTGTATGGGATTATGTATGTGTGGTATGTGGAGTATGTGTGTGCTGTATGTGCATATAAGCTTGTGTGGTGTGTGTGTGTGCACGTGTGTGCTTTCTGGTTCCCGATGGCAGACGTCTCTGACACTGCGCCCTCCCTTCTGTGATGTGCTTTACAGACCCTGCACCTCCTCCTGCTCAGAGCTGCCCGTGGTCCCATCCAGGGAAAGCCTGAATATTCCTCTTCAGTATCCATGGAGGGTTCATGGATGAAGCCTCTGGCTTCTGGGTCCTTATCTTCAGTGTCCTCCACAACTGGTTTCTGTGTCCTCAAGGTCACACCCGAGATTGCATTTGTACTCTGAATGCCTCTCCCTGGCCCAGGGCGCCCCTCACCCTCAGCCCCTAGCTCTGGGAGCCACCTGGGTCTACAGAGCCACATGCCCTTGCTTCACTCAGGGGCACGATGTATCCTGGGGCCTGTGCTGGTCCCTCCTGCCCCTGCAGGCTGGGTAGGGCTTCCATCTGCTCCTGCCTTTGGGCTGTGGAAGAATCAAAAAGGAGACACATGGGAAAGTGTGGCCACTCCGGGGTGGACATCCTGCTCCCAGGCAGTGTCCAGCCCCTGCAGACACCTTAGCTTCATGAAGAGCCAGGAGGTCCCATGGGCTTTGCTGGGTTGAGCACGGGTTTCCATGGCTTTCAGAGGTTCCATGGAAGCATTGAGAAGGTTTAGAAAAGGAGGAGGTCGTGTTGGATTGGGGTCCAGGGACTTGAGTGTGGGGAGCCCACAAGGGTGGGCTCCTGGTGGGCTCAGGCCCCCGGGTGACATTGTCCTGGCACTCTCTTAGGGTTACAGCCAGTACCCTGTAGGACACCTCCTCACTGGGACTGGATTTTAGGCCGCTGTGGTGAGGCAGGGGGTGTTTGGAGGCAGAGAAGAGTGCAGGACTCATGGGTGCACAGGGGCTCGGAGGGCTTCCTTCAAGCTGCTGTGGGCAGTGCGGGGCGGGGAGGAAGGCTACTGGCCAGGGCAACCCACCGGGTGCAGGTTCCTCCCTGGGGCCTCCCTCTAATGTGTCACTCCACAGGGGGACCAGGCCCTTTGGAGGAGAAGGGGCCACCCTTTCTGCAAAACCCAGCTTACCTTTCTTCCCCAGGCTGCACTGAATTCTGGCGGATGTTTGAGTCATTTGTTCATAATAGGAATCCCTTAAACGTCCACAGCAGGACCAGGTCAATCCTGGCCGTAGACAATCAGCTTCACCATCTGCATCTAGCAGATGCAGGAAAAGGCACCGTCATAAGTTTCAGAAGCCATGTTTCTTCAAGGTCTGAAGAGAAAATGTGTGACTGAAATGTGCTGAGTGTCACTTTCCTTTCTGGCCTCTCCCTTGCCCCTCCCTCTCCCCGACCACATCTGCCCCAGGAGCCCCTACCCTGAGGGGATGGAGGTAGAGATGTCCGGGAGCCACTGAGGAACCTAAGGCAGGTGTCCAGTGCCTCTGCCCCCGGACAGGACTCCACAGAGGCCACTGGTGGCCATGGCACAGGGGCGACTCAGCCACTCCAGGCCAGGCCAATGGCAAATGGGCCCCCAAGCGCCCTGGGAGCCCGCAAAGGACCTCAGTCTCCATCTGGTGGGTGAAACGAGGCCACTGCAGATTGTGAGCAGAGCTGACATCCACAGGTGGGCCCAGGACACAACCTAGGGCCAGGAAGTGATGGAGGTGGCCACCACACACCAAGCAATTAATCCCCCAACATTTGCAGAGAACTGTCTACGTAGCAGACCCTGCAAAAGACACAGGAAGTTACACTCCACTGCAAAGACACGCGTACGCATGAGGCACATGTAAGGTCATGCACCGCGACCTCTGCAACAGATGGACAGAGTTGTTCTGTGCAAGCCCCTACAGTGAGCTGAGCCCAGAGCCTCGGACAGGGCCCAGTGCCAGCTGTGTGCATGTGGTCAGTACAGAAACCAACGTCAGCTGGGGAGACCAAGGCCAGTCCAAGTAGCAGGTGATATTTGACCTGAGCCTTTAAAAATGAGTAAGTAATGTAAATGACAAGTTAACAGGTGCAGCACACCAACATGGCACACGTAAACATATGTAACAAACCTTCACGTTGTGCACATGTACCCTAGAACTTAAAGTATAATTTAAAAAAATAATTTTAAAAAATGAGTAAGTGTCGATAGTGAAGACTCGGGTCACTGATTCAGAAGTCGCTCCAGGCAGAAGCAGGATGTGGGAACAACAGCCACATTTTGCAGAGATTTCACAGGAAGGTTTCAAACCCAGAGGGATTTCTCCTCAGCCCTGAGAGCATGAAATTAAACTGAACATTGCAGCTGAGACGAGGGGGACTCGTTTCTCTTTGCAGTGAGGGAAGGGACCAGCACTCCGGGGAAGAGCTGCCCATGGACAACGCCACCCAACAAAGTCTCCCGTTCTGTACACAAGAGCACATCATATCATCTTATACCAAGGACTGTCTATTAATTCCCTATTTCTCAGCCTCTGCTGGTGAAGTTTCTGCCTCTTACTTCTGAAGTCCAAGCGGTGAAGGGCCCTTGGCCCACACAGTCTCAGGGTGGCAGGAACAAAAAGGCAGAATGGAGTCTGCGAACAGAACCTCTGGCAGCCGTCAGGTGCCACCGGCACAGGAATCTCTATTACGTGAGACACGGAGGGGAGGCTCCCTCTAACTTCCAACAGGAATGCAAAATGTGCCAGGCCGGGCGCGGTGGCACACGCCTGTGGTCCCAGCTACTTGGGAATCTGAGGCAGGGGGATCTCCTGCACCCAGGAGCTGCAGTGATCCGTGACTGCACCACCACACTCCAGCGTGGACAACAGAGTGAGACCTTGTGTCTTAAAAAAAATAAACTAAATTTATAAATTACCAGGTTTGTCTAATTTCTAAGTATGAAAAGCAAAACATAAGGAAATTTTGCAGCTTGTTTCATGACTTGTTGCCTCCTTTCCTTCTGACTTGAGTGTGTCATCTGAGAGAGGGCAAGGTGGGGGAGTTCTTGCCCTGGGAACATGTCATCAAGCTCTCGGCTGGCGCAGGCGGCCCAGGACATTGTGTTCCCAAGTCCTCCCTGCTCAGAGCACGACCTTGGCTGGTCCCCGTGGCTCACATGCAGCTGGCTTCCATGGCAGCCGGACCCATCACTCAGAGTGATGCAGGTTGACTCAGCCCTGGTCTGTCCAAGTCTAAATTTACTCTTCTGTAAAATGGGAATAACCTGCCTCCAATGGTGAGAGTGAGGTGGGGTCGGCCAGGCAGGCAGGGAGCAAAGGGAACACTGCCTGCGTTTATGTAACTGGGAGGCCATCCCCAGTGGGGCCCGAGGCATCACAAAGGCCCCTGTTTGCAAGACGCCTCGAGTTCTCTGCTGTCTCCACAGCTGGCATCCAGCCTCACAGACACCCTCGACCCAGGTGAGGTCCCCACTGTCCCCATGTTGAGTGTCACAGGGAGACGCCAGCAGGACCCGGCCTGCCTCTTCCTCAGGGGAGGCCTGGACGAGGCTTCTGGGCCAGGACATGACCCTGGATGGGGCACAGGGCAGCCGCAGTGAGCGGCCAGGACTCAGGCTGTGGGGGCCTCCCTGACCCTGCCTGGGGGTGGGGTGGGGCCAAGGAAGCCCCAGGCCTTCAATTTAGGATTTGCTTCATCAAACGGATCAATTCAGGCTCAAGATAAGTGGGGGCTTCCTGTTGGAACTCAGTCCCGTGGGACCCTTCCAGGCAGAGAGTGTGGGAGGCTGCGCCCATCCCTGCCACGCCTGGCCCCCACCATGTCCCTCCGTGCATCGCAGACATGTTCTCCTGCTGACCTCCACCCTGCAAACGCGCCTGGGTCTCCCCCTTACTGTGTGGGACACAGAGGGGCCCTGCAGACCTGGGGGGAAGGAAAGAGTGGGAGGAATGGGAGGCGCTTGCAGGACTCAGCACAGCCGCCTGGGCCCAGCCTCTCCTCAGGCAGACCAGGACCCCTGAGTGAGATCCCCCAAGGTCCCTTCCTGTCTCAAATTTCTTCAATTTTTACAATTAAAGGAAGAGAAGAAGAAGGACGTGCTCTCCTCTCTCATGCCCATTTTCTTCTATACCCTGAAGATCCTCAGGTAGCTGGGATTCTCTGGCTGCTCTGAAACCCCGGCCACGTGTCCATTTCCAGGCGAGTGAGTCCCGGCTCCCCACTCCTGCCTCCTCCTGATCTTCTCCCCACTCCTGCCTCCTCCTGATCTTAAACAAGTTTGAGGCTCCAGGTAAAGATCATGGAGCCTCACCCTGCTTGCTCAACTCAGCAACTCGGCGGTTTCCCCGACGGCGGGTGGAGAGCTGGACCCTATCCCTCCACAAGCTGCATCTGCCCTGCCTTCTCAAAGGCAGCAATTCTGGGAGCCTGATGGCTTCATCCAGAAAATAAAAAGGAAAGGCCACGCGGAGGGGTTTTGTGCAGGGAGCCACTGGCCCAGCTACCGGCCAACCCGGGAAGAGCTAGCTGGGTGACGAGGGGACGGAAAGGGCATGATGAGTGGGTTTTGCCAATGCTTGTAGCCAGAGACCATGCACGGGGCTTGAAAATCCTCTCTTTAGCTCGAAAAAGCCTGAACTTTGTCCCTAAATAAGAGAGTATTTTGTGGTTCATCATCCATAGAAGGAGAACTCAAAGGAAAGGGCGTGATCACAGCAGTGAGGCACTGACTGGGGTCCTTCCTGCGCAGTAAGCGACCACTGACGGGGGTCCTTCCTGCGCTATGAGCCACCGGGCAGTGGGGCTGTCCTGCCGAACCCCATGCAGGGCCCCTCACCAGCAGGTCCTCTGAGCCCACCCTGGCACACAGTGGGCTCCTTTGGGAATGGACCCGGGAAAGCCGAGCTGCCCCAGCCTGCAGGATGCCAGGGCAGGGGCAGCCCCTTATCCTGGCCTCCCCTGGGCCAAGTTCCACCTCTCCCACCTTCCTCATCTCCTGAATCCCCTCCTCCTCAGCCACAGAGAGCGCTCCCACCACCCTGGGGAGTGAGATGGTGATGGTGACAGCTGTGGCCATGAATGTGGCTGGGGAGCTTTGTACCCAGGTGCTGCCTCACACCTGCTAAGTCATGTCATTCTCAGGACAACAAGCAGAGAAACAGGCAAGAGCTGGTATTACCCCATTATACAGATGAGGAAACTGAGGCACAGGGTGATTAGTGCTCGTCCCCAAATCACAGAGCTGCAGAGTGGTGAAGACAGAACAAAACCCCAGCCAGCCAGAGGCCCTGCTCCCCACACTGCCCTCATTCTAGAAGGTTCTGCCGTAAAACCAGTCCCGCCCATTGTGGATGAGCCCAACAGAGATTCAACGAGACAGGAGAGAGGGATGGAAGATAACCCGGGGCCCAGCACACAGGGACGGCTCTGACAGATCCTGTGCAGTCAGGCTAGTTGAATACACAAGCAAGCGACCGTGCCTGGGCTGTCTGGACTCCGTGTCCATGGCCTGGGTCACCCTTGGCCAAGTGTGGAAACACGCAGCTGGGGGCTTCCTCTGGCCGAGCATGGCAGCTTTAAGCACCACGGCCAGGCAGATTTTCTTCTGCACCACGGTGTCCTCATCCCAGGCTAGTCTCTGCTGAGGAGCTCCCTTTCCTGCTCTGGGCAGTGCCCCCACCTTGGCAACGGAAAAAATTCTACCCTGCAGAGAGTAAAATTGCTGGTGCTCGACGGGGACACGTGCATGGCAGTCCCTTCCTTGCAAAGCTACTGAAAATCCACTGGGGCTGGAACAGGGCCTGGCCTCTGGCTCTGGGGCCCAGCAGGCTGTGGGGAGTCACTGGAGGAGAAGAACTGGACTGTGCCCCCTTCAGAATCCCCCTTTAAAGTGGAGAGCTGGGGACTGACGGCGTGCCTACAATACGGTATGCATGTGGTCAGTAAAGAGACCCCACTGTCAGTCCATCCTCCCACAGTGCTGGCCCCGACACGTGGGGACTGCAGAGTGGGTTTGCCTGGGAAGAGGAAGCATGGTGGTGCAGAGTGGGCGGTGCAGCAGACGTGGGAAAAGCAAGAAAAGAAAAGGGGAAACCGTGCAGAAAGCAAGCCATGGTCAGGCTGAGTGTGCTGCCCCCTCCACCCGGCTTCAGGAGTCTGATGACTTGACTTCTTTTGTCGTCTAAGCCAGGATAACAGGAAAGCCAAAACGAAGGGCTTCAGGCCCAGGAAGATCAGAGGCAGCAGTGCTGGAACTGGCTCTGTAAATTTTACCGACTATTAGATTTTCAGAAAATTTGTGAGCTGGTTGATGTTAGGTTTGTAGCTGGAATTCAGT